ATCATACTAGCTGGTGTGATTCGGTCCCTCGGGACCTCAACCATCATATTAGCTGATGTGATTCGGTCCATCAGTACCTCAACCATCATGCTAGCTGATGTGATTCGGTCCCTCGGGACCTCAACCATCATACTAAGTGATGTGATCCGGTCCCTCGGGACCTCAACCATCATACTAGCTGATGTGATTCGGTCCCTCGGGACCTCAACCATTACACTAGCTGGTGTGATTCGGTACCTCGGGACCTCAACCATCATACTAGCTGATGTGATTCGGTCCCTCGGGACCTCAACCATCATACTAGCTGATGTGATTCGGTCCCTCGGGACCTCAACCATCATACTAGCTGATGTGATCCGGTCCCTCGGGACCTCAACCATCATACTAGCTGATGGATCCGGTCCCTCGGGACCTCAACCATATACTAGCTGATGTAATCCGGTCCCTCGGGACCCCAACCATCATAATAGCTGATGTAATCCGGTCCCTCGGGACCTCAACCATGATACTAGCTGATGTAATCCGGTCCCTCGGGACCTCAACCATGATACTAGCTGATGTAATCCGGTCCCTCGGGACCTCAACCATGATACTAGCTGATGTAAATCCGGTCCCTCGGGACCTCAACCATATACTAGCTGATGTAATCCGGTCCCTCGGGACCTCAACATGATACTAGCTGATGTAATCCGGTCCCTCGGGACCTCAACCATGAATACTAGCTGATGTATCCGGTCCCTCGGGACCTCAACCATGATACTAGCTGATGTAATCCGGTCCCTCGGGACCTCAACCATGATACTAGCTGATGTGATCCGGTCCCTCGGGACCTCAACTATGATACTAGCTGATGTAATCCGGTCCCTCGGGACCTCAACCATGATACTAGCTGATGTAATCCGGTCCCTCGGGACCTCAACCATGATACTAGCTGATGTAATCCGGTCCCTCGGGACCTCAACCATAATACTAGCTGATGTGATCCGGTCCCTCGGGACCTCAACCATGATACTAGCTGATGTAATCCGGTCCCTCGGGACCTCAACCATCATACTAGCTGATGTAATCCGGTCCCTCGGGACCTCAACCATCATACTAGCTGATGTATGGAATCTGCTACCAATAGCAGCAGAAGAAATAGTAACAATGGTAGTACCCATTATTATTATTAATACTAGAAGTAGTAATAGTTACAGTTGTAGTAGTAGTAGTAGTAATAGTAGTAGTAGTAATGGTAACCATAGCAGGACAATAGTAGTAGTAAAAGGGTCCTAAATATTAAATATAGTCTACGGTGCCAGCCTGCCGTGTTTCACTTACTCTTGGCTCGCCTCTGCTTCCTTTACTGTGATCTCCTCTGGCCTTTACCCTCAGGGAAGGTTCCTTAATGATGGTGAGGGCTCTTGATTTAGGGAATTGGATCTGTGATCCGGTTCCCCGAATTAAGCCAGAATCCTTCCCACATCCCCCCCAGGCGCTGTATAATCCTACGGGTTTAGCGCTCCCCCTTGATTATAATAATAATCCTCTGGCCATTTGAATCATTAAGTTTTATATTATTAAGAATAATAATATTAATAATAATATCAATTATAATTAATATTCATAATATCAATACGTTATATAAAAAATTATAATTAATTAATAAAAAGTTATATGATAATAATATAATAAATATTATAAAATATATAATAATATAATAATTAATATAATAATATAATATTCATATATGATAATAATAATAATAATAAATAATATAATAATAATAATAATAATATAATAATAATAAATAATAATAATAATAATAATAATAATATATAATAATAATAATAATAATATAATAATAATAATAATAATAATAATAATAATAAATAATAATAATAATAATAATAATAATAATAATCAATAAGTAAAATCGCCAGAGAAACGCATAATACACAAATAACCCGCACATTGGACCATTTACAAAGTCACACTAACGTGACTACTGTGACTTTGTAAATGGTCCAAGTTGGACCGAAACGTCATCACGAGCTCCTCTCTCCTATGTGCGAATTAGAAGACAAAGTTGTATTACTCAAGACAGAGAAGAAAAAACGGATAAATACATTTGGTATATACCTTGACACGTGTGACTTACCACTGACACGTGACATAATCATTGTAACATACTGTAACATACTAGTAACATACGTTACTACTGACATGTGTGACATATAGCTGACATATGTGACATACCACTAACATATATGACATACCACTGACATATATGACATACCACTGACATATATGACATACCACTGACATATATGACATACCACTGACATATGTGACATACGATTGACATATGTGACATACATTTGACTTAACTATTGACGTAACTCTGACATATGTGACGTAACTCTGACATACACATCCCCAGTTACGAGATAAATTCTTCCTTGAAGGTCTACTCTAAAACTGGTCTTAATTATTGTCTGATCCACCAGGCTATGGCTGCCAGCAGCTCGTACTAGAAGCTGGTACAAATACGAAGCGTAGAGGAGAAACAAGTAAAGTGAAACACGAAGAAAGAAAAAATAAAGAGATGAGAAATTAATATAACTAAGCATAAATGGATAAAAATATGTAAATTGTCGTAGTGTGTCAAGTGTCAAGTGTCAAGTGTCAAGTGGCCTAGTGTGACCTAGCTGGTTTAAGTTGTCAGGTTATCGTAGTGTCAGCCAGATGGTGCCAGGTGTCATACCGTCGAGTCAGTAAGCTGGTGCCAAGTGTCATACCGTCATGTCAACCAGCTGGTGCCAGGTGTCACACCGTCATGTCAACCAGCTGGTGCCAAGTGTCATACCGTCATGTCAACCAGCTGGTGCCAGGTGTCATACCGTCATGTGAGTCAGCTGGTGACAGGTGTCACACCGTCATGTCAGCCAGCTGGTGCCAGGTGTCATACCGTCATGTCAACCAGCTGGTGCCAGGTGTCATACCGTCATGTCAACCAGTTGATGCGAGGTGTCATACCGTCATGTCAGCCAGCTGGTGCCAAGTGTCATACCGTCATGTCAACCAGTTGGTGCCAGGTGTCATACCGTCATGTCAGCCAGCTGGTGCCAAGTGTCATACCGTCATGTCAACCAGCTGGTGCCAGGTGTCATACCGTCATGTCAGCCAGCTGGTGCCAGGTGTCATACCGTCATGTCAGCCAGCTGGTGCCAGGTGTCATACCGTCATGTCAACCAGCTGGTGCCAGGTGTCACACCGTCATGTCAGCCAGCTGGTGCCAGGTGTAATACCGTCATGTCAACCAGCTGGTGCCAGGCGTCACACCGTCATGTCAGCCAGTTGGTGCCAGGTGTCATACCGTCATGTCAACCAGCTGGTGCCAGGTGTCACACCGTCATGTCAGCCAGCTGGTGCCAGGTGTCATACCGTCATGTCAACCAGTTGGTACCAGGTGTCATACCGTCATGTCAGCCAGCTGGTACCAGGTGTCATACCGTCATGTCAGCCAGCTGGTGCCAGGTGTCATACCGTCATGTCAGCCAGCTGGTGCAGGTGTCATACCTCATGTCAGTCAGCTGGTGTCAGGTGCCATACCTCATGTCAGCCAGCTGGTGCCAGGTGTCATACCGTCATGTCAGCCAGCTGGTGCCAGGTGTCATACCATCATGTCAACCAGCTGGTGCTAGGTGTCATACCGTCTTGTCACCCAGCTGGTGCCAAGTGTCATATCGTCATGCCAACCAGCTGGTGCCAGGTGTCATACCGTCATGTCAACCAGCTGGTGGGTTGAACACACTGATTCTTCTCATGACTGTTTTCTTCCCTTCATCTTTCTCTTCCATCTCTTCAACTTTCTTTGTTTCTCCAATTCCTCGTCACCTGGAAATAAATGGTATAAAATACCGACACAATGGCAATATAAACACAAATGCAGTATAATGTGATCCTTTATTGACTACGTTTCGCCCACACAGTGGGCTTTTTCAAGTCACAAACAGAACTACCTGGGGTGGAAGGAACGCGAGTATTTATAGTCCAGCTGAGGTCAGGTGAAGAATGCTGCATCTGATGATGTACCGAGTGGGGTTATAGAGTCTAAAAACTTGGGTAGCTTGGAAAGGAGATTGGATAAGTTGTGAGCAGACCTTCTACAGTGTTCTTATGTGGGATAGCGATGAAGAAGTTTCTTGGCAAGTGGTTCAGCTATGTTATAGAAGCCACTATTCTGGTTGAAGTTGTCGGATATAGAAATGAGTGATGATTCCAGGATTCTTCGGTATTGAGTGTTGTCTTCTGTGGCGATAAGTCTTGAGTTTCTGTAGTTTATCAAGTGGTTGTGTGAATTACGGTGTTGTACGCAGGCATTTCTTGTGTCGTCAGACCTGCTTGCGTATTGGTGTTCTGAAACACGTGTTTGGAGGTCCCTTGATGTTTCGCCCACGTATAACTTGTTGCAGTCATTACAAGGGATTATGTATACCCCTGCAGAGGATGGAGGCTTGTCCTGCCTACTACTGGTGATGTCCTTGATGGTCGTGGTTGTGGAGCTGGACTATAAATACTCGCGTTCCTTCCACCCCAGGTAGTTCTGTTTGTGACTTGAAAAAGCCCACTGTGTGGGCGAAACGTAGTCAATAAAGGATCACATTATACTGCATTTGTGTTTATATTGTCCTCGTCACCTACTATCCCTTTCCTATTTTTACGTGGTAGGACTTGGGAAAGACTGATAGCAGAGGACTTGAAAGTTCTCACTGAAGCTGTCTGTTAAGAACTAACCACTTCAGGCTTGACTAAGGACTATCCACTTCAGACCTGAGTAGGAACTATCCACTTCAGGCTTGACTAAGGACTATCCACTTCAGTGTAGTGTAAGGACTTTCATATGTTATCTAGGTACCTGAGGCTAGGATAATAAAACTGTCGCTCCACTGATTATCACGTTACCTGACCATTTTTAATTTGCACTCATTGATACGCCTCTTCCTGCCCTGCCACAG